AAAAAAAAAAAAAAAAAAAATTGGAACTTTATGTATCACCAAAGAAACAGCATAATTCCAGTGTAAAGCAGCTTTAGCAAACTGCCTTCTACTGCACTTCAACCCGACAGAACGAGACAAAAAAAAAAAAAAAAAAAAAAAAAAAAAGAATAAAACTATGAACATTCATGTACATGGCTGTGTGTAGACAAAGGTTTTCATTTCTCGTGGATAACTAGAAATGGAATGCCTCGGTTATATGGTAGGCATATGTTCAACTTTTTAAATACTAAGTTTTGCAAAGAGATTGTAACACTTTATGTTCCCATCAATAAGAGTTCCAATTGTTCCAAATCCTTACAGCTCTTGGCATTCTCAGTCTGATTTTAGCCACTCTAGTAGGTGTGTAATAGTCTCTTATTGTATTGTTTTAATGTCCATTTCTCTGATGACTAATGATGCTCCTGTGCTTATTGGTTATTTGTATATCTTCTTTTGTTCTATTCAAATTTATTGCCTGGTTTTTAGTTGGGTTGTATTTTTATAACTGAATTGTAAAGGGTCCTCATATATTCTGGATTCAAGTCCTTCGTTAGATATATGTTATTGTGAATATTTTATTCTGTAGCTTGGCTTTTCATTTTCTCAACTGTGACCCTCAAAGAACAAAAATGTTTTTTTTTTAAAAAGCCCTATTTATCCATTTTTGCTTTATGTATATATATATAAACTGAGATGGGGTCTCACTATGATGGCCTTGCTGGTCTGGAACTCCTGAGTTCAAGCAATCCTCCCTGCTCTACCTCCCGAAGAGCTGGGGTTACAGGCATGAGCCACCCGGCCTGGGATGCCTTTTTTATTCTAAGAAATCTGTGCTTATTCCAAGATGGCAAACATATTCTCCTTTTTTTTTTTTTTCTAGGCTTATATTAAATAGTTTTAGCTTTTACATTTAAGTGAGTGATCCATTCAGAGTTAAGTTTTGTGGATATATATTACCGTAGGGCAGAACATCAGTTTTTAAAGGGTGGGCAGGGTGAAAAGAACCCTGAAGGATACCAGGGAAAAGGATGTTTTTGAAGCCATGAAAGGTGCAGGTGGGGTCAGTGGTGGCAAATGCTTCCGAAACCAAGTTTGAGTATGGCTGAAAAGTACTTAATGTCAATTTACCGATCCTGCCTTGTGCCAAGCACATCACACTTGCTCTTCAGTGTGTTAAGTTTTTCAGTCTATTGAGGGCATCTTGCCTTAAAAAAATGTATGAATAAGACAAAAGCTGGAGCTGGACGGAGTCGAAGGAGATTTTTTGTTTTTGAGACATGGGCACGTTTGTATGAATGATAAACGTCAGTAATGAAGATGGGGGAGGGCTTAGGGTGTCAATGAGGCGAAAGGCCCCTGAGGCAGGAAAAAAGACCCAGAGCCTAGCGGAGGGATTAGCTTTGGCTTGGAGGTACTTAAAATTCACCCAGAGTTCTGGAAAGCAAAATGGGGGAAAAGAAGAGTTGCGGGGAGAGACAAGCGGTATCCCTGCAAATCTGAAAACTGGAAGAGGAATTGGAAGTAAACTTTTCAGATACCGTCTGGAGCCCATGAAGGCATTACAATTTTGTAAGTGAGAAGCTTCTCCTCTAAGAAGTTGTCATTTAGTCCTCGTCACGTGGTAAGAAGTATCGCACGCCCACAGCTCTGCACCCGAAAGTCCGGACACCGGAACAACTTTCCGAACCACAGGCCCCAAGATGCATCGGGGCAGAGCCAGCAGCGGACGCGGAAAACTGGCGGCTCCCTGATGGTTCCGGCGGCAGGGATGGCAGCGATTTCCTCACCGGAAGTCGAGCCTCCGCCGTGGGCCTGCGAGAATCGAGGCACTCGCCGGCGTACCCATGTATAGAAGAGAGTTCACGGCCTGGTACCGGCGGATGTCGGTAGTCTACGGGATCGGCGCCTGGTCTGTGTTGGGCTCACTGTTTTACTACAACCGGACAACGGCGAAGTCATCAGGTAGGGCTCTTCGGCGGGGCCTGCCCCGGGACACACGGCCTTCGGTGGAGAGTTCCCCGCGGGTCGTCGAAACAACCTCCATGTTCTGTAAACCCCAGGTTTATTCTGCAAAACTAATTGAAACGGGTGCTAACAGCCGTTTGTTAAATGAAATCTGCAAAGAACTAGACGCCAGGAATTATTAATACCTTGTAAATATTGTTACCTAAATCTTAGTCATTTACTGCATAGGGCCGTCCCTATACTCGGAATTGGAAGAATCTGTGTAAAGTGCAAGGTGGATTTTCAGAGACTCTGTCCGGTGATTTTTAAAGAGTGATGCTTCAGTACTACTGTCCCTCATGATATATGGCGAGCAATTTCAGGACTTTTAGCAGTCAAGGCGTATTAAAATCTTCCAGTTACTAGGCGCAAAGGGAGGAAAGTTTCTCAGCTTTGAAAAATATGCTGGAAATGTATAGAGACATTAAGTTGATCAGTGTGGTTACTAGGGGCTGAAGGGTTGGGGAGATGGGGAATGACTGCCAAAGGTATGGATTCCTTTTGTGGATGATAATATTTTTAAATTGATTGTGGTGCTGGTTGCACAAATCTGAATGTACTAAAAAACATTAAATTGCATCTTTTAAGGGGGTTAATCGTATGATATGTTAATTATATATCAGTAAAGTTGTTGTGTAAAAACTATGCTGAAGATTACATTTGGTGATGAAGCTATCAATGGCCTGAAAGTACATGTGTCCAGCATTAGGCGTTTAAAAACATTTTGGCCGGGTGCAGTGGCTCTCGCCTGTAATTCCATAACTTTGGAAGGCCGAGGTGGCAGATTGCTTGAGCCCAGGGGTTGGGGATCAGTCTGGGCAACATAGGGAGACCACCATCTCTACCCCCTCAAAAATTTTATATATATTTACTTTATATATAATATATGGTAAAATATTTTATATTTTTATATATATAAAGTAAAAATATTTTAATGTCCATGTTTATGTTTTCTTTCTTTTTTTTTTTTTTTTTTTTTTTGACAGGGTCTCACCCTGTCGCCCAGGCTGGAGTGCAGTGGCATGATCTCAGCTCACCACAACCTGCGTCTCCAGGCTCAAGAGATTCTCCTGCCTCATCTTCCCGAGTAGCTGGGGTTACAGGCACAGGCCACTACTGCCCGGCGAATTTTTTTTTTTTTTTTTGAGATGGAGTCTAGCTCTGTCGCCCAGGCTAGAGTGCAGTGGTGCTATCTCGGCTCATTGCAACCTCCACCTCCCACCTCAAGCAGTCCTCCTGCCTCATCCTCCCCAGTAGCTGGGATTACAGGCGAATGCCACTACGCCTGGCTAATTTTCGTATTTTTAGTAGAGAAGGGGGTTTCACCAGCTTGGTGAGGCTGGTCTCAAACTCCTGACCTCAGGTGGTCCACCCGCCTCGGCCGCCACAAAGTGTTGGGATTACAGGCGTGAGCCACCGCACCTGGCCTTTCCTTCCCTCCCCTCTTGTCCCCTCCCCTTCCCTCCCCTCCCCCCCCCCCCCTCCCCTGCCCTGCCCTTCCTTTCCCTCCCCCTTTCCCTTCTCTTCCCTTTCCTTTTTCCTTCCTTCCTTCCGTTCCTTCCTTCCTTCCTTCCTTCCTCCCTTCCCTCCCTTCCCTTCCCTCCCTTCCCTCCCTTCCCTCCCTTCCTTTTCATTCCTTTCTTCCTTATTGGGGTTGGAGGGAGTGAACATAATTCTTATCTTAATTTCTAAGACTTTAGTGACTGCTTTCTAAGTTAATAATTCAGGTGTTCTTTTTTTTTTCTCTCTCTTAATGGTGATAAAGTAGACCGAAAGGATGGCTTAACAACTGAAACACCAGGTGAAGTATCTGAACACCCAAAAGGATTTTTTGTGGAAACAGTTATCATATATAAAGAAGATTTTGTTCCAATTACAGAAAAGATCCTCAACTATTGGAAATCGTGGACTGGTGGCCCTGGTGCAGAACCATGACTGGCTGCTGAATTCTGAAAACCAGGACTTGGTTCAACATTTAAATTTGATAGTTGCCTCGATTCCCATTTTGTGTTTGTGAAAGGTGTATGTATTTAAAATTGCTATAAAACATAATCACTAATAATCTGCAATAAATATTTTCTTGAAGGAATCTAGCTGCATTTTTTTTTTTTTTTTTTGAGAGGGAGTCTCCTTTCTTTTTTTCTTTTTTCTTTTTTTTTTTTTTGAGAGGGAGACTCCAGTCACCCAGGCTGTAGTGTAGTAGCGCAATCTCGGCTCACTGCAAGCTCTGCCTCCCGGGTTCATGCCATTCTTCTGCCCCAGCCTCCTGAGTAGCTGGGACTACAGGTGTCCACTACCACGCCCGGCTAATTTTTCGTATTTTTAGTAGAGACGGGGTTTTACTGTGTTAGCCAGGATGGTCTCGATCTTACCTCGTGATCCGCCCATCTCGGCCTCCCAAAGTGCTGGGATTACAGGTGTGAGCCACCGCACCTGGCCTACTATCTGCATTTTCGAGAGGTGTTCATCTGTATTTGCATGAGTGAAAGACTGATGTGAAATTTCACATAAAGCTTCCATAAGCTTGATTTCCTGAAACTAGTTAAGGAAGATTTGTATTTCTTTCATGTTGCTATTAGGCACAGCTTTACTGGCCACTTTAAGGTTAGTTTCAGCAAATCCCCACATTCAGTTTGGGATTCTACTGAATCTACAGTAGCCCTGGGTAACCTACTGCATACTGGTGTAACACTGCTAATACATATCATAATTAGAACCTTGTAACTTCTGAATTAAAAGATCCCGACCTACTTTAGACTAGGCACATACCCCTCATTCCTCGCCAGTGTGGATTACCGCACCCAGCCTGTCCAGTGGCTATCTAATCCTGAGCAATGCAGTCAGAACGACACAATATCTGACATGCTACCAGTTTCCCAGTGGTCTTGGTTGCAAGGCACCCAAACAAAGTGAACTAAATCAAAAGGGGTGTTCATAAAAAAGTATGCTAGCTCAGAAATTAAAGCAGCACCGTATGGCCAGGACCGTGCGCCTCAATGCCGTAAATCCCAGCACTGGGAGGCCGAGGTGGGCGGATCATGGAAGTCAAGAATCCGAGACCATCTGGCCAGCCATGGCTGAAACCCCTTCTCTTTTAATACAAAATAAGCTGGCAGCACCATGCGCCTATAGTCCTAGCACTTTGGAGGCTGAGGCAAGGACATCGCTTGAACCTGGAGGTGGAAGGTTTGCATGACCGAGAATCGCACCCCCACTGCCACTCCAGCCTGTTACCCATGAGATGTCCCCATCTAAAAAAAAAAAAATGCAGAGGTATGTTGAGGTCTTCAAAAGACCCGACAAACTGACCTGAAAATGCGGCAGCCACTCCTGAGCCTGCCGGCTCCTCGCCTTGCTTCTTCTTAATTGCCACAACCCAGCCCCTGCTTTCCCCAACCATTTCTGAGTAATAAAAGTATCCCAAGAAAGATACTACCCTTCCCCATGCTGCAAATTGCCACAAGTCTGAACCCAGTCCCTCCTCCCTCAACCAGTGTTTTGCCTTCCACCTTGAAGAGACTCGATTCAGTTTTTATCAATCCCCTGGCTATGGATTATAGAGACTGCCTTCCAGTTATGGAATAAGCTGATTTGTTTCTCAATAGTATGGCTGTTTCCCTGGTTCATAGCTATCAGGACCTGTCGATAGAGAGTGGGTGGGGACCAGAAATTAACCATTTTAGGTCTCTATAGTGCTATGACCTTCCAGAACCTCAAGGTCGCGGATTTCTCACCTGGTGGTGCAGTTCCACCATATGGTGGCTTGAGGAGTCGCTGTGGGCAGTCAGTCCTTAGGTGACAAGGATTCCAAAATCACAACAGCTCCAGATGCTGACAGCAGAGACTCAACTTCCCAAGGGATATCAGATCAAGCATGGATTTGTGCCAGCTGGCTGTGTATTCCAGTGGACTATCTTGGTTGGCATCAAACTGATGAATGAGAAGCAGCGTGCGACAGTAGACGGGGAAGGTGAGAAGCAAGTGAATCAGAAGTATGAGCGAGATGGGAACAGTAGCATGAACCTTTTGGAAGACATTTCCTAACATGAGGGACTTCCAGAGAAACCAAGGGCAAGGGCTGAAGGGCTGTGGCACTTGGCAGGTGAGAGTTGTTAATAGAGCACACCTAGGATAAACAGCTGAACTTCTATTCTCACCTGGCAGTCTGTACCCAGGATCTGTACACTTGTGGGGCTTAAGGGGACATTTGGGCTAGCTTTCCTTGGGACCTGGCTGGGTTTCTTTGCTATATCTAATTCTCTTATTTCAGCCCAGCATTCTGAACTCAAGATCCATGTCCATCTAGCATTGCTACTTGGATGTCTAGCTGCCTCAGCTTTGTCCATAACTTAAATTGCTGCCATCACCCACAAGCCTGCTCTTCCTTCCGTTCTCTTTCTCAGAGAGTGCTCAGTTCCTCAAATTAGGAACCTATCATTCTAGACTTCTCCCTCTTCTTGTTCCTTCTTCCTCCAGCCACCAGGTCCCATCATTTCTACTGCAGATATTCCACTCCATTCCCACCTCCCCGTTTCCTTTAACACTACCTTACTTAAATCCTCCATCCTCTTTGCTTATGTAGCCTCAACTTCCTGTCGTCTCTGTCTCTACTTGGAGTCCCCTCCAATTGGTTTCTATAGTATTAGCCAGCATGACTTTTTTGAAATTAATTTTTATATTTTTAACAAAGCAGCAAATGCATTAAAAAGTTAGTGATCAAAAGTTTGTAACCGAAAAAACAGTTCCTGCTTTATCCCTCCTCGCTTTCAACTATTAGGTATTTTTTTTTTTTTTTTGGTATTTACGTCCACATTTCTAAATAATAAGCTTTTACTAATATCTTTAACTTATCAATCATATATGGGATTTATTAATCAGGATTTGATCCTTCTTTCCAACTGACTAACCAATAAAACTATTGCATATTTTTGATGAATCAATAATTGATAGTTACCCTGTTTTAACTATGCAAACATAGTTTGTTGATAAGCCAAGTAAGTAAGCTATAATTGTTTCTCATATAACTTTTCTTTCTGGAGTTAACTGCATTCTTTTTTTCATTTGCTTTGTTTCTTTGATGTTTCTCTCTCATTCTTTCCACATCCTCTAACCTCACAATATAATTTTCCACACAAACCTTCCCAGTTTCTCTTTTCTCTTTTTAAATCTTGGAGCTCTTTGTCTTCTTGCTACAATCTGGACTGATCACTCTAGTTCTGATTCGCATACATTTTTCTTTGCTGTTTCCTTTGCCATCTTATAATGGATCTCTGTTTTCTCGATCCGTGTCCCCATAATTCTGAGAAAGGGTATATAATTTTTTGTCTCTTTTTCATGTCTGAACATGTCTTTTTTTTGAGACAGAGTTTCGCTTTGTCACCGAGGCTGGAGTGCAGTGGTGCGATCTTGGCTCACTGCAACCTCCGCTTCCCAAGTTCAAGTGATTCTCATGCCTGAGCCTCCCGAGTAGCTGGGACTACGAGGCCTGCGCCATCACACCTAGCTAATTTTGCATTTTTAGTAGAGATGGGGTTTCACCATATTGGCCAGGCTGGTCTCAAACTCCTGGCCTCAAGTGATCTGCCTGCCTCTGCCTCCCAAAGTGCTGGGATTACAGGCATGAGCCACTGTGCCCGACCAGAACATGTCTTTATCGTATTCTCACACTCAATTACTAGTTGGCCTGGGTATAGAACCCCAGGTTTGATCATTACTCTCCCTCAGAATTTTGAAAGCATCAGTCCCCTGTATTCTAGCAATTCCAATATTTCAGCTGAAAAGTCCTAATCTTTGATTATTACCTGTTTTCTTCTCTCCAGAAGGTCTTAGGACCTCCTTTATCTCTAGTGTTCTGAAATTTTACAATGATGCACCTAGTGTGGCTTAAAAAAAAATTGATTAGGCTGATCATTCAGTAGGCTCTTAGTTTATGGAAACTCTTATTTGGTTCTGGGGCATTTTCTTTTTAGGAATTCCGTTTGCCTTTTAATTTTTTTTCTGTGTGTCTGGAATTCCTAATAGACATTCCAGACTACTTTTTATTATTTTATACTTTTTCTTAACTACTGTTGATATCTTTATTTTCGACTTTTCAGGGAGAGGATCATTCATTTACTTATACAACTGTGGAGGAGGCAAAATTTTACCTATACTTTTTAGGATTTGTGGCTGGGCCTCAGAATTAAATTGACATAAAACAGATTAGCCAAAGTAAAGTGTATAGATTCTTACATGCACGTGGAAGCCCCCATAGAAAAATGGGGACCCAAAGTGGCAAAACCTAACTGGTTATATACTGAGTTGAACAAAAAGAGGCAACTATGGAAAAATAACTAAAATGTACAGGAAACCAGAGGAGGATAAGAGTTATTTAAACAAGGCCTGTTTGTATGGAATTATCTCGACCTTGACTCTCCATCTCTGGTGATAAGAATGGTTCTTTCCTCCTGCTATAGGGAGGGCATCTTCCACATGGCAGTTTTATCTCTTTCTTGCTTTTTCTTTTGTTTTGGAGACAGAGTCTTGCTCTGTCACACAAGCTGGAGTGCAGTGGCATGATCTTGGCTCACTCCTACCCCCGGCTCCTGAGTTTAAGCAATTCTCCTGTCTCAGCCTTCTGAGTAGCTGGGATTACAGGGGTGCACCACCATGCCCGGCTAATTTTTGTATTTTTAGTAGAGATGGGGTTTCACTATGTTGGCCACACTGGTCTCGAACTCCTGACCTCAGGTGATCCGCCCACCTCTGCCTCCCAAAGTGCTGGGATTACAGGCGTGAGCCACCGTGCCCGGCCTATCTCTTTTTGTCAAAAACAAAAGAGGAGGTCAGATCACCTTTCCTGCACCTGCTATTTTTCAAGTGTCTTTAGCTCAAAATAAATCTTATGCCAAAGTGGCATATTTTTTGGTGGTGTATTCCATTATCCTTCACATTCAACAGACACCTGCTGAGCCCCTACTTTGGTTGTGGAGGACAAAGCAAGTCCATCTTGGATGCTGATCTGCCATGTTGGATTCTGATTAACCCTTGGTCCATGAATACCTCTAAGATTTGCAGCTTATCTATTGTTCCTTGTGTAAGAGCTTGTCT